CAGTACATTTAACATCCTTTTTGGTGAAAATCAGTAATTATAGAAAATTATGCTCCAAACCTACATTCTTCTCATGATTAGATTCATTTCAGTTCCAAAGGGACATATGGGGGTAGGGATTTTTTCTAGCTTTTAAAAATTTGCACTGGGTGAGGGTGTCTTATTCTCTTTACTCTCAGGTTAGTAATAAATGAGAGGTAGCTTGGGGTAGTAGGAAGTCAGGTTCATTCCTTTTTTTTTAATTGATTTGAGAGAGAGAGAGATCACTGTGTTCATCACTTTGTTGTTCCACTCACTCATGCATTCATTTGTTGTTTCTCACAAGTGCCCTGATCAGGGATGGAACCTACACCCGTGGCGTATCAGGATGATGCTCTAACCAAATAAGCCAGCCTGCCAGGGCTCAGGTTCATTCTATCATCATTTCCAGTCCAGGCTCCTGACTGCTCTTTTGGCAAGTTTCTTAACCTCTCTGAGTGTCCCTCTTCTTACTTTTCTCTTCTGCTCCCCCTAAGTGTGGAAATAACATTTCAACACTATACAACTGGAAAATGACCTGATCTTGCTAGTTTAATATTTTTGATGTGTATTTATTTATTTATTTGAATTGGTAATAAAAAGGGGAATTTGGTGTCATCTCCCTCCCACCTGCTTCTCTCTGGTTGTTTCCCAGTCCCCAGTTTTATTTTAAAAACTCAGAGGCTGGAATGGGCAAACAAAACAAGCCAATTATGTTTAATCTGAGTGAAATGGATTCATTCTAAGGTGCTATGCAAGGTGATTATTTGTCCCCATGTCTTCTGAGACCTTAAACAGCAACACTGAACTAAACTACTAGTCACAGTGCCTTTTCAAGAAATTTTAACTTTGAACTTGCTAATGTGCAGAGGAAATGGTTCAAGCATTTCTCTAGAACTTGCTTGATAAATTTTCTTTTGACCCATTGATCATTCTCTTTTAAAGTTTTGCCCTTTTCTGCTTTACATAGGAAGGAAGGCATAAGGGAAAGATTCGATTTGGACTGCTTTAAGATCTTTAGACCTTAGGCCAAGACAAAGCACACAAGAAATAAAAATTTAGCAAACTGTACTTAATCTCTTTTCAGCTAATTCAATATTTGTAATCATTCTGACTGAGGTTGGTTACCTCTGCATTTACTTATAAAGGGTGTGCTGCACAGATGAACAGTAGTATGAAGAGGACAGCTAGGCACACAATTTAAGATGTGTGTCTAGTCAGTACCTGGCACATAGTAGGTGTACAGCCTTTGCTATATAAAACATTATTTATGAAAGCATGCTTGAAGCACTGCTGTGATAACCAAATATTTTCTGCAAATCTTCAGATTTACAGTGCAAATTAGAAATAATTTTTTAAAAACATCCTCTCGGAAAAGGGCTCCAAGAGACTTCTTTTTTTCCATGACAACTTTGAGTTAATTTAGGACAGGATAGCTATTTTGCAAGAATTGAGGAGCACCACTCTCTTCTCCCCGTATCTGACACTGGAGACTCATTGTGCATGAAGTAGTGACCAAAATCTAAGTCAATTCATTTAGGAAAGCAATATAATTACCATGATGTCCGCCCCTGTCAGGGGAGAGTTCAGGTTTAAATATACACAGAAGGCCACAGTAGGGATCATGACATACAGCCTAGCGTTGGAGGTTGCTGCATTTGTTCAATTTATGGGTGAGATCTTAACTTTTCCAGTTGTATTAATAGAATTAATTAGTGACATTTATTCATTTACTCCGTCCATACATTTGTTAAGAGACCACCAGGGACATAATGCTCTAGATCCGGTTGCTCACCCTCACGGAACACACTATGCCGGCGAAGATTTGCTTTTCAATAATCATCAGGGTACTGCTTGTACGGCGCTCTACTGCTTCCCTTAAACCCAGGTGGTTTTTAGGGAAGAGTTTTAGGAGCCCGCCCTGAGGGAGATACCGCTCTCCCTCCCCAGCCCGGGCAGGGCGGGGTCAGCCGAGCAGCCACTGTCGCTGCCCCCGCACGCTCCCTCCTCCTCCTCCGTCTTTAATTTCGCAGCTCAGACCACCGGAAATTAGCCGCAGGCGCAGCGGACCGGCACCCCCAGGCTGAGCGTGCGGTGGGGACGGCGCGCCGCCAGCCCCGCCGGGCGCCCTGGAGACGCGCCGCGAGCGTCCGCTCCACTGGGGGCTCGGCGCTCGCCCACCTCTTCCAAATTTAACCATTACCTAAATCCAAAGGGAAATGAGCAAACCTCTCGGATTGGGTGTCAAGGTATTTTCAGCCTCGCTGGGCGTATTTATCCCGAAGTGTTTCCACAACAAGCTATTTCGGGGCCGCGGGGCAGGTTTCGCTCTGCGGACACCGTGGACACTCTCCGGGCTCCAGGCCGGCAGCCCGCGGGCGGGTGATTCACGGCCTCGCCGGGGGCGGCGGCGTGGCCCCAGCAGGAGGCGGGGTTGGTGGTGGCGGTGGAGGGGTCCGGGGCCAGACGGGCGGGGAGACCTCCTCCGAGCTGGGCGCTTCCACTCCCGGAGCTCCACTCAATCTGTGTCCTGAATCTGTGACTTCTTCTTGCTGCGGAAGTCTCCCAGGAGTCAAGAATAGTTCATTTTCTTTCTAGTCATTTCTAGTGTCTGGGCGCTCCGGGTCTCCCCACCCCCGCCGTCCCACAGAGCAACGGGGAGGGTGGCGGGGAAGGCCGGGTCTTCCGTCCACCTAGCCCCTTGCACAGAGGAGGAGCACGCCCCGCCGCCCGACTGGGGGGTGGCAGGTCTGAGAGGGCTAAGCGAGCTGCTCCTTAACGCTCAGGAAGTGAAGCTTGTGGTTTTGGGGGCTGAGCTCGGAAGGAGATTAAAAAAGAGAGAGAGAGAGAGAGACAGCGCGGTCTGTCCCGAAAGCAACTCAGTTTGAAAACTCTCGGAGCGCGGTGCCCGCGCCCTGACCCCGCAGGTAGGTCTGCTGTGCCTGTTTTGCACCTCCTTCCCTGGCAGGGGCGACCACGAAAACCGGAGGACTTGGGCACTGCGGGGGGGCAAACAGCCAGGCTGCTAAATTCCCACCTGCCGTAGGCAGCTGTGCGGGAGCACGGAGAACTCTTTCAGCTGCGGCCTGGCGCGACCCCCAAGGTGGGACTGGGGATCTGGAGCCGGGACTTCTGGTAGATCTGCAGGGGAGAGAGATCCACCCGTGAAGAAAACATCTGGTGGGGAGGCGGAGGCAACTGGGTTCTGGAGGCTGCCCCTCCTGTGCCTCCAGCTCCCGCCTTCCCAGGCCCGGACCGTGAACAGCGGGCCGCGCTCACAGAGGGCCGCCCCGCCCCCGCTGCCAGCTGCTGAGCTAGGTTGCCTTCCCACGCACTGCGCTGGGCCCTACCACCCCCTACTCACTCCACCCTCCCAGAAACCCGCAGAACCAGCCAGGAAGCAAGACAGGCACGAGGCTGTGTTCCCGGTGGGGAGGCAACCTCCAGTCCGACCCTGCACGGTCCCATAGAGTCCAGACCGAGTGGACGCGGCAGCTCAACCCCTGCCCCCGCCAACCGTGGTTCGACTGCGCGCCACTGGGTACCCAAGGCGCAGCAGGGCCCTAGGACCATTTCACCTCGTTTTCCTTTAACACTGAGTTTCATGGTTGTTTAAGGAATTGGTTTTCGCCTTCATAGTGTCTTATTATACGGCCGAAGCAGCGGCTCACACCGGGGCTCAGGGAAACTGAAGCAGCAGACCTGCGCCGCCTTAGGCCAGCCCAGCACCCCAAAGCCTCCTGAAGCTGCGACCTTTGGGGTCCTTTGGGGCCGACGGGGGCGGGCAACACCCTCATCCCTAGGAGGAACCTGGTGTTTAGGACGCGGGAAATGTCGTTTGGGGTTCCGCTACAAGTCCCAACTGTCTTTTCTTCCAAGCCTGTCCGCACTCCCCTCCCGGAGAAGGGAACACAGTGGGAGTGGAATGCTCTCGAGAGAAGCAGTCCCCTAGAAGTCTTTTTGAGCCCGGAGCGTTAACTGGCTGATCTAGACCGTGTCCTGCATCCTGCCCTGGGAGCCGTGCGGACTTGGCAGTCTAAGCCTCGCAAAGTCCAGGGACAAGGGGTCCTGCCCCGGCCCAGTATCCCTGGCACCCTTGTTTCTGAGCTAGCCACGGCTGCAGAGAGCTGCGGTGCTCGAACCGCCTACAGCGCTCAAGTGAACCCAGCTCCCTTCGTCTTCACCCGGGGAGGGAGGCAGATTCATTTTCCCCGGACCTCCTAGCCTTCCTAGTTCCGCCCGCCCCCCTCCCCCAGAGACCCAGCCGAGCTGAAGGCTCTACCCCGCCTCCCGCGAGGCTCAGGTTTCGACCCTGGGATTAGGTGAACTGATTGGGGGGTTAATGAGAGGGGCGCATCCGGCATTTCGCTCTCTCACAGGCGTCCGCTGAACTGTTAGTTCTCCGCGGACTCCTGGACTCCGCGCACTTCCGAGCCAGTGCGTGCGCCTCGGGGCTCGACTTCCACAAGACAAGGTTTTTGGTGAGCAGAGTGGAAAGTGGTTTTTGCTGGGACTTGGTTTTCAAGCTCAGGTCTCCATGGTCTGCGTATCTGGCCCCAGACCCTGTCTGCTCCCGCCGCAACCACGTCTCCAGGTCAACTGCCCCCCCACCCCACCCAGGGGCAAGCAAGAGTGTGGAAGGAGTAAGATCACTGGGATTCGAGTTCCTCCCATGGCCGGGGTTGACCCTCTGCCACTGCCCCTGCCTCACCTATTTGTCCCTCTGCTCTCCTGCCGTCTTTCTCCAGCCCCTACTGCCTCCAGCCGGGTGCTGCGATACACCCCCGGCCCCGCCCCCCGTCTGCCCGCCGTGCTCCCTCTGCGCTCCGGCTCCCGTCTGCAGCCCGCTCTTCAAGGGCTTGGCAAGCCTCTTCCGGTCCGGACCGCGGACACATCCCCCCAGCCCTTAACGTGTGCTTCGTCCCAGCCCTCTTCCCCAGCCGGAGAGCAGAACACAGTGGGCAGTGAATCATCGAGTTGGAATAAGTGGCCCCTTCGGTACTCCAGCTCTTCCGAGAGTCTGATTGCCGGAGCGAGTTTTGGTAGAGGAGGGGAGGGGCGGAGGGGCGTGTGCAAGGCAGAAGGAAGAGGCCTGAGCCCGGCCCGGGACGGGTTATACCGCTGAGCTGTGGCGGCGACGGCGGCAGGCTCGCACCACCTGTCCGAGTGCCACCTGGTGAGCGTGGCAGAGCGGGGCCAAGCCCCTCCTCCCGCGGGCCTTTCTCGCTCCTCCCCGGCCCGAGTTCTGTCTCCGCCCGGCTGCCCATTCCCGGCCCGGAGCATACTGACCCGTGTTACCACCTGGTTCTCCTCTCGCAGGTCTCGCCTAGTTGGGGCTGAACGAAAACACTCGGGTGACAGTTTGGTGACAGAGGCTCCAGGGACCCTGGGAACAGCGTGGGGAGCACGCCCGACCATCATGCCACGTTCGTTCCTCGTCAAGAGCAAGAAGGCTCACAGTTACCACCAGCCGCGTTCCCCTGAACCCGACTACTCCCTTCAGCAGGAGATCCTACAGGCGCCAGGCAAAGCAGGTGCGGAGCGCGGGCGCGGGCGCGGGCCGGGCGGGGCAGTTCCCAGGGACTTAGACTCTGAGCCCCGCCACTCCATCCCCCAGGAACTGGAGAGGGAAGCCCGATGGCCCTTTTGCTGCGTGTTTTGTTTCTTACAGTCTGGTCCCAAATCCCCCCTCCCTGCCCCCCTAACCCCGGGTCATCACGCAGGTGCCACGGCCTCTCTGCTCTCGCCCTCAGAGCCGGGAGCGTTCCGGCCAGGTGGGGGAGAGAGGGGGTCGCCCGGGTGCCAAGGTCTGGGGAGCGCCACTTCAGAACCGTGAGGCCCAGTCGGGCCCAACCTGAGCCCCTATCCTCCCTCCTCTCCGCAGACAGTACTTCGGACACAGTGGGGGCAAAAGCGGAGCCCCGGGGCCGTTTGTCCCCCGAGTCGCAGCTGACCGAGGCCCCTGATAGAGCCTCCGTGTCCCCCGGCAGCTGTGAGGGCAGTGTCTGCGATCGGAGCTCGGAATTTGAGGACTTCTGGAGGCCTCCGTCGCCCTCTGTGTCTCCAGGTGCGAGTTCGGGGGCGCGGGCGGCAGGGACTTCTGGGCGAGGAAGGAACCCGCGCGGCTTTGGGCGGAGAAATGCTAAATGGATGGCGAACAGTCTTTTCCAGAGGAGCGTGTTCTTGCTGTGTAGGGTCCCACGGGAGGGCGTGCGGCTTCTCTGGGGCTGTGACTGCGTGCTTGCGGGGTCTGCTGCGGGGTCTGAGGTGGTGGGGCCTGAGCTGTTCATCCCACCTCATTTGTTTGCACGGAGCGGGTGAGCGAGAGAAAAATAAATGGGTCGTCTCTACCGACAGCAATGTCGACGTTTCGTTTTCCGGCCGGAGTGGATTGTTTAGAAAGTTGGGCTGCCAGAATCCAGACCACCGCCCCCCCCCCCCCCAGCCCCAAACCAATGGAGACCTGGGCAGTGTGAGCGGAAGGTGCCGGTACCGTTAAAAACTCCTCTCTCGCGGTGTGGGTCCTGGCAGAGCTGAGCACCAAACGGGAGGGACCCATCCCAGAAGAAAATCTCGGCCCCGCTCTGGGTTTTAGCAGGCGCGGATTGGGGGCCCATTTTATTTTTTCGTTCTGCCTGGTCGGTCCAGTTCTGGGGACCGGCAGGCTGGTTTCATTTCCAACCAGCAGCCGAGTTTCGAGTAAACTGAGAGCACCTTGGGTGGGGCGTGCCTAAGTTTGGGCCGGGGGAAGGAGTGCGCAGAGCAGCCAGATCTGCCGAGGGCTGGCTATTTACAGACTGCATTTACTAGTTTTAAAATACACCCCCAATCCCGTTCCGCACTCAGTGCGTTCACTTGGGTAAAGGCATAGCTCCGGCGAGTGTGTCTGGGAGGCAGAGACCCGAGGGTTCCTTTGGACTGTGCATGACACCACCCCGTAAGGACTGGGCGCCGCCGGCATCTCTCTGACGGAAACTCGGGGTGCAGCCTCTCTCAGCAGCGGCTAGCTTGGATTGCAGCCTGCAGTGTGTGAACAGATTTGTAAATCCGTATGTATTTAGAGAAAGTGTATGTTGGGAATCTGGTTTTAGCAAAATTCACGTTAGTTGGGGAGTGCAGAAAGCTGCAAAAACTGGGAAAGCTATTTCCCTTACAGTTGGGGCTAAACCTTAATTGTAAATTATTTCCCAAGAAATTTGGGTGGTTTTATTTCTGTCAAACTTGATGGGAGTGGGTAGTAATTGGCAGGCAGTTCCAGCCCCAAGACCCCTTCCCGCTGTTCCTTTGTTACCTGCACTGGGTGGATACTTAATAACATAAGGAATGATAACGCCTTCCCGGTGTTTTTGTTTTGTTTTGTTTCGTTTCGTTTTTTCTGTTTGTTTTCCAGGCAGATGAGTCTTGGGTAGGCTGGGCCACATTTCATTGGTCCTCTCCTTCCCGCCTTATTGATCCCGGAAAGAAAAGGGACAGGGTGGGAACACAGGGGCTGGAGAGCGCCGGTGCTGGGCACTCTGCCCACGAGCGCTGTCCAGGGCCCGAATAGTGGCCGCCTTCTCCTCCCTCGCAGCTCAGCTCAGAGCATTTATTCAGCACAGACAGCGTGGCGCGCCTGTCTCTGTGGGACCACTTGGGACCACTAGGTGCGCTGGTCGAGCCGGGAAACACCCTCTAAACATCGTGAGCTTCCGCTGTCCTGTCGCAGGATTTACCTACCTCCTCACCCGAAGTCATTTAAATGATCTGTTCACTCTCTTGCCTGCAGTGGTCCTTGAGGCCCCAGGGGCCCAGCCTGCATTTTATTCTGGGGGCGTTCTTGGCGCAGAGCATGGCATCCGGCGCACAGAGCGCTCCGGAAACGCTGGGTGCGTAGCAGTCCGTTTGAAGCCTGACCCGACGCCCTCTTGTGTCTCCGCAGCCTCAGAGAAGTCTGTGTGCCCATCGCTGGACGACACTCAGCCCTTTCCCCTGCCCTTCAAGCCATACTCGTGGAGCGGCCTGGCGAGTTCTGACCTGCGAAATTTGGTGCAGAGCTACCGGCCGTGCACGGCCCTGGAGCGTGGTGCTGGCCTGGGCCTCTTCTGTGAGCGCACCCCGGAGCCAGGCCATCCCGCAGCACTGTACGGCCCAGAGCGGACAGCGGGCGGCGCGGGGGCCGGGGCGCCCGGGGGAGGTAGCGCAGGAGGCAGCGCGGGCCTGGGGCTCTACGGCGACTTCGGTCCGGCTGCCGCAGGGCTATACGATCGGCCGACGGCGGCGGCAGGCGGGCTGTACCCAGAGCGTGGCCACGGGCTGCACGCGGACAAGGGTGCTGGCGTCAAGGTGGAGTCGGAGCTGCTGTGCACCCGCCTGCTGCTGGGCGGCGGCTCCTACAAGTGCATCAAATGCAGCAAGGTGAGGCTCCCACGCGCCCGGCTTGACCTACCCAGCGCCCGCGCCCCCAGTCCGCGCCCAGCCCCCGCCCGCCCCCCTAGGCCCCTCTCAGCGGCCTTCTCCCCGGCCCCACCCGCCTCAGGTGTTCTCCACGCCGCACGGGCTCGAGGTGCACGTGCGCAGGTCTCACAGCGGCACGAGACCCTTTGCGTGTGAGATATGCGGGAAGACCTTTGGGCACGCGGTGAGCCTGGAGCAGCACAAAGCCGTGCACTCACAGGTAAGCGGGGATGGGGGGAGGGGTGCGCGCGGCTTCACACGGCCCAGCTTAGGCTTTCGCCTTCCGGGATCGTCTGCTTCTCCGTGCGGCACTGGCCGCTCTCCACCCGGCGGCTTTCTCCTTGGACTTCCCCGGACTGCCCCCACTGTCCTCAGCCGTGTCCCCTAGCCTAGATGTAGGCGTGTAGGAAAGGGTGGGTGGTGGCCCGCTCAGTGCTCGAGTTTGGTGTCACGTCACTGTGAGCCTTCAGAGTATGATTCTGATCATTACTTTGGGTTTGAGGAAAGTTTGGATGCCCTCTTGCTGCTGATACATCATATTTACTAGCTCTGTTTCTTTCCCGCAGCTACTGCTGCTTTTTTTTTTTTTTAACCAAATGCTGTCATTTAATTGACCCCTCCCGACTGCAAAGGAGAGCTCTTAGGTCGTTTAGAGCATCCAGTAGCATATTTGTCCTGCTATGCTTTCGTTCATTCGTTTAAAATATTTGTTGCCCAGCTTCCAGGTGGTAGACCCATGCGAATATTTTAACATACCGGGTCCCTGACAGGATGCCCCCACTGAGATTACAGTTTAGCTAACAGAAGGAAGATAAGCAAATCAGTACACAAGTAATTATGACAGGACAATGTTTACTCACAGATACTTATTTACTAATAAGAGCATTTTCTCATCTCAACACCCGTACTGGCGGGAGGGAGGGGGCATCTCAAGTGACTGAGGTCTAAGCCTCCTGTTGAGGAGGGTGGAGAAGTTATTGTAAATGGGTGTCAAAAAAGCAGGGTGGGGATACGTTTTTGCCATGGGGTGTGGAGGGTTGTGGGTGAAAAGTGTTTGGGTAGAAAAAATGTTAAAGGGGAAGAGGATCAGGGTGGGGAGGGTAGAGGTTGGAAGTACAGGGAGGAGAGAAAATAATGGGGCAGGCTGTTTGGAAAGGGAATCTGACAGAAAGGGAAGCCCTGGCTTTGTCAGGCTTGTGGCAGGGAGAGCGGCAGCCCGCATGGCTGCAGTAGGAATGCCACATTTTTCTCTCCACAGGAACGAAGCTTTGACTGTAAGATTTGTGGCAAGAGTTTCAAGAGGTCATCGACGTTGTCCACACACCTCCTCATTCACTCTGACACCCGGCCCTACCCCTGTCAGTACTGTGGCAAGAGGTTCCACCAGAAGTCAGACATGAAAAAACACACCTTCATTCACACTGGTGAGCTGAAGGCCCTCAGCTTGTGGGAAACTGCCAGTGAGGGATGGGGGGCAAGGGGCATGTTCTTTCCCCTGAGGCCAATATAATTCACCTTCTCTGTAATATTCTGGCCCCAAATGAGTGGCAAATGAGGCCTAATCACTGCAGTGTGTAGAAGAAAGTGAGGTCGATTCTCTTAGGTTCATTTACATATGTGGTGCTCCACAGAGGGGACTTGATTTGGGATTGTATCTGAAGAACACATCAGCTGCAGGTTCCCTATCCTTGCAAGGATATTTTGCTCTATTTTAGCAGCTGCTCCAGTGCTGCCTGCTCTGGGTGAAATATGAAGCTCTCAGAGCTTTTGCTGTAAATACTTACCTAGAGATTGAGGACTTTCTCTTGGGCTCCCACCCAGCTTGTTGGAGGAGTGGTCTCTTGGCTGCATTTTTACGAGTCTGAGAGGTTCTTCAGAGTGAGGGGGGAAAACAATGGTAAATGTTAAGTTCTCTGCTAAGTACTTTGTAAATGCATTATCTCACTTAATGCTCACAGCAGTTCTGGAAGATACAGACTTTTCCTGATTCCCATTTTAGAGATGAGGAAAGTAAGGTCCAGAAGGGTTAGGTAACATGCCCAGGGTCACATTGCCAGGATTTCATTTCAGGTCTGTCTGACCTCAAGTGTCTATGCCCTTGACCACTGTTTATTGTATTCTATTCTCAGAGTCATGGGGGCTGGTAGATATAAAAAGCTTCTATTCACTTACTGCCCTCGTAAAAATGTCAGCAAGTTCATAATAATGGTAATTCTTTACTTATAATGCCTTATAATTTTTGAAGTGCTTTCAAGTCCATCACTTTATTTGCTTCTTACTGCTGTCCTGTCCAAGGAGAAGGAGCTGACATTACCATCCTGAAACTCAGAGAGATGGAATGATTTACCAGCGGTCATGGGGCTGTGGAATGCTCTGGCTTCCAATTCTGTACTTGTTCCCTAATGTTTTGACTGTGTATAGGTGGCAGTTTTAATGCCAGGAGCACTGTCTTTAATAATCAACAAGACATTAGAACCAGAAATCTGACTTTTCTTCCAGAACATGAATACCCATTTGAAATAAATTGCAGTGTTCCAATTAGCACTGCAAACATACCCTTATTGTTTATAAATATGCCTGGATTGTGTAGATGCCCCTATCAGAAAACCCAGAAAAATAATCCTACTTTAATCATGCCCTGGTGCCTGAAATTTCCATGTAACACTCCTTTTCGTAGAGGTATTCAAGACGTTTATCAAAATGCAACTAGGATCTTGACTGAATGAAACACTAAGACCTTATCAAACATTTACATTATAGCTAGAATTCGTTTCTCAGATTTGTTTGACCCTAAAGAGATAGGATAAGTTTTGATGGGTGGTTCCTTATCAAGGAAATCTGAAGCATGCAGACAGAAAGGGGTGCAGTATGAGGGGCGGAGGATTCCTCAAAAACAAACTTCATCTGTTTTGCGTTTTTTCCAAGGTCAAGCCCTGACTATAATGCCATGCTGAGGCTATTTGGAAATCCATGCTATTTCCCCAAATGTTAAAACAGCTCATGAACTGGGGGAAAAGACAAAACATTTTTCAACCTGTCATTTATTCATCTGTGGTAAAGAGTTAACTTCTGATTAACCTCATAAAAAGAAAGTAAAATCAAGATAGAAAGGGATCAGCTAACTTAAATAATTCATGGCTCAAATGTGGGTTTTTAAAAGTAAGACTCTGAGAAATGTCCATACTTCAGAGGCATTCTATTGCCCTCCCAGAGCAAGGAAGAAGATGGGCTCACTGTTCCATACACAGCTCCCTGCCCCCAGCTTGGAAACTCAGATTTGAAAACTTCCTCTGAATTAGAACAGTCACATGGTTTGAAGGACAACCCCCACCCTCACCCGCACCCCTCTCGTGTTGAACATCTGCTGTGGGAGCTCTCTGCTTCTAAAGTCAGGGGAGTCCTCCCAGGGTGGATTCAGCTGTGAGCCTGGGGAGGGCACGTGGTCTTTGCTGTGTTTCCTGTTAACAGGAAACGGTTTGAGGCCTTTGGCTGGGAACCCCCACTCAGAAAGCCTCCCTTTCACCTGGTGCACCCACGGCTTCTCAGGATTGTGTTGCAACACATCACCCTCCAAGTTACTTGAAGGCCTTAGACTGTGGTGCAGCCAGCTGCCACCAAGAGCATGTGGGTCACAGTGAGTCCCCTCTAGCTTCATCACAGACTCCTACTTCCTCCCCTCACCCCCTCTGTTTCTGCAGGTGAGAAGCCCCACAAGTGCCAGGTGTGCGGCAAGGCATTCAGCCAGAGCTCCAACCTCATCACCCACAGCCGCAAGCACACTGGCTTCAAGCCCTTTGGCTGCGACTTGTGTGGGAAGGGCTTTCAGAGGAAGGTGGACCTCAGGCGGCACCGGGAGACGCAGCATGGGCTCAAGTGAGTGCCCTGGCTGGCCACAAGCAGCTGTAACACAACACTAGGGAGCACAGCCTCCCCACTTGCCACCACCCACTTCTGACTTCTCAGGCCCCCCAGTCCAGGCTGCAGATCCCAGCAGGTGATCCTTCTTCGCCTTACTTCCCAGAGCTGCTGGAGGGAATACGTTACCTTTTCAAAGTTCGTCCTGGAGTCAGAACCAAATGACTTACTGTACTTTGGACACGAGGAATGGGCTCCTCTACACCTGAAGACTCAAAGTCAAGATGGGCTCAGATAAAATCTTGGGCCCCTCAGTCCTTCCTATTCCCAGCTCTGCTCCAAAATCAGGAGGGTCATTCCAGTTTCTTCCCTCCTCTTTCTGATCCACCCCAGATACTGGTGTGGAAGAAGAAGAATCACCTTTACAAGGTAGACAGACGCTAATTTTTTAAAATATAGAATGAAGAATGAGTGTTATTTTTCTTTTTTCCTTCTGGGGAGTCAGTTGACCCCTTTCTGTTGGGTGCTGCCTATAAATCTTGGAGGAATCATTTCTGCCACTGGAAGACTGGCTCAGAAACTGACTTGGGGAAGTAGTTTCATACTTCTGAAATTACAAGATACACTGTAGGGCCTGTCCCAAGAAAGCTGAAGAAAAGTGGGCCTGGTGTTGAGAAGAGATTAAAGGCCTCCAAGCCTGTGAAGGCTTCATCGGAGGAGGTGGAAGCACAGAGCAGCAGCCTTTGGACACGGTATCATCCATTCACAGCAAATATTTGTTGACCACTGGTTACCATGGTACCGGGCCCTATGCTAGGTACTGTGGAGCCAGAGATTAAGGTCTCAGCCTCTGTCCCCTGCATTTCAAAAACTAACATTCGTACCTCCAAGTGGCTGGATCTGTTCTTTCCCTCCAAAGGAATTCTGAGAAGGCAAAATAGTCTTGAACCTTCTCTTTTGACCCATTTGGCTTTTGTCAAGCATAAGAAAAAATAGCTGAACAAATACTTCAAAGATTTGTGTGTATATTCAGTTTTTTTATTGTTAAGCTGATTTTTTAAAGATGTCTAAGCTAGCAGGCATGTGGGAGTGAAGGCTCTGTCTTTCACTCTTCCCCCTTCTATGTGTACTGCAGAGAAGTGGTAATTTCCTTTCATGAGGTTTATAAATGTTTTTTAGATCTTCTGAAATGCATTATGTTAATACGTATTTATTAGAGTGATGTTTTAAGTTAATAAAGTATTAAGACTCTTACATACTGCTTTTTCATGTGTGCAGGGGATTTGAGAAAGACCCTTGTTTTAGTCTGCAGGGGGAGTTGGCACTGAAGAAACTACAGAAGTAGCACAGAGGAGCCAACATCCAGACAAGAGTAACATCCAGTTGCTCTGGTTTTCCTGTGCTTTTTTATTTTCTTCTATTCCTCAGAGATCCTTATTTCTTAATAGGAAATGTAGGAGCTCCACACTAAGCTCCAGCCTAGGAGACTCCCTGATGGTCCCATATGTGCACAGGCTCTTCTGTGTTTTTCAGGGCTGTTTTTTTTAATAGGCCAGAAGGCTCTGGGATGAGTAAAGAAATCACAAGCCTTGGGTCCAGAGACCGAATCTTAGTCACAGCTCTACTACCAGTACCTCACGTGACTTGGTCAAATTCTTTGACCTCCCTGACACTGGTTTCCTTGATTTTAACCTTTAGACACGGATGTATCATCCCACTACAACCCTGACCACTTTGGTTCTGTGGAGAGTAGCGAGGAAAGATAGTATCTGAGATTGGTTAGCTGCCTCACCTGAGGTAAGTGGGAAATCTAAAGACACATGAGGGGCAGCAAAATTGGGATCTGGGTTATTTCTGGCTCTATCCCATCTGTGGGAATTTCTTGCACAAATCAATCCCTTAAACTGGAATAAGGTCCTGGCCTAAACCCCAACTACCTGTGCTTTTTCTAACATTTCCCAGACAGGGTATGAATGGCCCATGACAACCACCAGCAAACTGTCCATGTCTATTCCAATCAACCTCACACATTGATTGAACACCTGGTGTGTGCCTGGACTGTTCTCAGTTCTGGGATACAGCAGTGACCGCAATGTCCTGTGGAGTTCTATTTATTTGGTACTGCTGAACCTTCTAGAACCTGGCACACAGTAGGAGGTCAATAAATATTTGGTGAGGTCTTAAGTGACTAAGCAGACAAAATAAACTCCTGCTTGATCCTGGCTGCTCTGCACAGCACAAAGGGAAGGGAAATTGCTCGAAGGCCCAGGAAACAAACAGAACATCGAGGACAGGGAGCTGGGGGTCCCGGGGGCTTTGGAACTGCTTCTTTCCAAGTTCTCCAAAAATCTCAGTCCTTGGCTGTCCTCACTTGATTTTCACGTCTTTCCATGTCTGTTTATTCTCGTTCAAAATTTAAACTTATGTGCTCCATAATGCAATTTTAAGATAATTTTTCAGAACTGATGGGCGAACAGTTACAGGATCCAGGAACCTCTTTCTAGTGTTCTGGGAAGCAAAGTTCCCGGTGAATAAAGATCACAGACTTCCTTCCCACAGAATTCACCACACACATGGGTTGATTATTTCCTCCCTGGTTTGAAAAGTGGAGAAGTTGCGTGGAGGGGTAAGTAAAACTGATTGAAATATACTTGTTGGTCCTGTCCTGTTCTCCCCTTGTGACATTTAGAACTTTTGGTCCATTTTCATAATCCCTGTTTATGCTGTGCATGCGGAGTTTTAATTTTTATGTTCACGGTTTGCCTTTTTTGGAAGACAAAACGAACAAACAAACAAAAACCGTTTATCCCCAGTACAGAATCAAAACAAATTACTGGGCCTGTTACCGTGTGAAATTTGAAGATTGCAAATATCTCTCTTATTACTTGACTCCATTAAAAATAGATGGTGAATATTCCATGTCACATTATTCATGAGGCAGGCCCTATGCCTTTTGTCTGCCGGGGTAACAGGAGAAAGGGTAACAAGAGACGCCAGAGCACACCTTTGTTTCTTTCACTAAATTTTTAATAACATCTCCAGCTAGCCAGTTGGTGAAGCTCAGCTCTTGCATAAAAGTGGAAAAGCACAGCTATCTCTGAGAAGACCAACTCTTTCAGTAGCTAATTTGAGTTTGAGTTCATGTATACCAGAGATGATTAAATTACCTATCGAGTGTGCTGAGCTATCAGGATTCAGGCCACGTAAAAGGTGAATTTCATCTGATTGATTTGAGACACGAATGGAACAATTGAGTCTTAAAAGCCCCGCCTTAATTAAAGGTACAGCAAAGTAGCTCTCCTAAGCGAGTTCTTGACTGCAATTACCCTTGAAAATTGGGTGGCAATAGTGATTTGACCCAAGTCATCTTGTCGTGCGCCTGTTTGTTTAACCGGATCATTTCACCGAAAGACAAAGTCAGTGGAAGGCCCAAAAGGACTTGTCTACTCTTTGCTCTGCATTTCTAGAGCTTTATTTGTTTCAATCTCTGCTGCTATGTTATTCCTTCAGTAAACACTTTTCAGGAAGTACATGATACATTTATTTTAATAATATTTCATTCATTGAGTCAAATTTTAAAAATAAAATAGTTTGTATGTTTGTGTGTGTGTGTTCCTTTCCGATTTTTACCCACCTGTGCACAGGCACATTTTTTATTTTTCTCCTGTCATCAGGGTATTTACAGTTTGTTTCTAGATAGCTTTCTTATTTGTATTAAGGACACACACCTCAAATGGAAATCTGGGGTGGGCAAAAGTAGCTTTACAGTTGTTCATATGGAAACTAATACAGTAATTAGTAAGTAATAATATAAGAATAAACTGTTTCATGTAACCACAACTGTAAACTTACTTTTGCCAACCTTTATATTTCACAATGAGAATTCTGACAATTTTTATGGTTAAAGTTTAATGAAATCTGAGTATTTCTTAGGAATTTTGTCAGTCATTAAGAGTCTTTTCTAAAGTTTTACCTTAAAGTTATTCACTTTTTAAATAAAACATTTCAATCATATGGGAAGTTACAGAGAATAATACAATAAAATTAGTATGCCATATTTACTTCTGATTTTATTTTTAAAATAAAATATTACAGGCATAGTTTAATATCTTCTGGAAAATGTTTTTCCCTCACCCCAGTCCCTTCCTGTCTCCACAGAGGCATCCACTCTACCAAAACTGGCACATATCATCACCATGAATATTTTTATACCTTTACTTTATACACATCTGTATAAACAACATATAATACTGTTCAGCATATTTTAACTTAATACAAGTGTTATCACAGTGTATATATCTTTATGCACCTTGCATTTTAATTTTTCTTTGCTCAACACTTTGTTTCTGAGATGTATCCATGTTGGCATATGCATATTTGTTCATTTATTTTAACTGCTGTATATAGAATTCCATCACATGAATACTTGGTGGTTATTTATGTATTTTGTTGGAAGAGTGTGGTTATTTCCAATTTTCCCCCTCACAAACAGTTCCAAAGTGAGCAACCTTTTACATATCTCTTTGTGAAGAGCTTCTTTTAGGGTGTATTCCTGGAAATGCTGGATATTACCAAAGTGTTCTCCAAAGTGATTCTATCAGTTTACATTTCTACCAGTAGTGTAGGAATATTCCTGTTGCCCCACATCTTACCAACGCTTGGTACTCTCGGATTTTAAAATGTGTGCCAATCAGATGGATGTGAAATGTTACTGCTGTTTGCATTTTCTTATTGCTAGTGAGGTTGACTAACTTTTCATGTTTATTGGCCTAATAGGTTTTCTTTCCTGTGAGATGCCTGTTTGTGTACTTTGTCTACTTTTTGGTTGAGTTGCTTCCTTTTTATTAATTTATTTTTTTAAACGTATTTTAAGTACTTACTGTTTTGTTGGTTAAATGTGTTGACACATCTCCTAGTCTGTCTCTTGCCTTTTCACTTTGGTTGAAGAGAGAATTTGTTTGTTTTGCTTTTGTATTGTAGTTAACTGTATCAGTCTTTTCCTTCATGTTTTATGCTTTTTATGTCTTAAGAAAACCTTCCTTTATTGGTGGTCATAAGCTCACCCCCTGATTTTCTTCTAAAAGTGTTAAAACACTTGCTTATAATATTAGCTTTTTAATCTACTTTTGTCTATATGGTGTGAAATGGGATCTAATTTTTTAACTTTCCCACATAGATAACAATTACTCCAACATTGTCTATTGCAAATTACATTTTCCCCCTCAGTTTGTACTGGTGCCTCTGTCATAGGTCAGGTTTCTGTTTCTGTACGATTCCGTCTCTGAGCTTCCTGATCTAGTCCACAAGTCCTTTTGTCCATCTCTATGCAAATATCATATTGTTTCAATTAAACTTATAATAAAATGTTAGTTTTGAGTTGGGAAGGCTTCCTTCTAACTTGTTCCCACCACTTCAGCAATATCTTGGCTACTTCAGGCCCTTTGCTCTGGCTTGAGAAAAACTCTGTTGGAATTTTCATTTGTGCTACATTTACTATTTAATGGGGAGAATTGAAATCATTTTGATATTGATTCTTCTCATCTATAAATATGGTATATTGTTAAATTTTTTAGGTCTTTTCTCTTTCAATGACATTTTATAATTGGCATAATTTTTTTCTTTTCTTTTTTTTTCTTTGTTTACTTCATAGTTCTATCTGCTGCTGTAGTGTGGAAACAAAATGATCAGTTTTTTGTATGTTGATTTTGTATCCTGCAACTTTATCAAGACTTCTTAGTTTATGCAAATTATTTTAGATCTCCTATGTAAGATAATCATGTAATATGCAAAAAACTGCAGCTTCGTTTTGCTGTTTCCAATGTACTCTTCTTGACCTACTGTACTAGCCAAGACTATAGTGAATAGGGAGTAAAAGCAGTCATCCTTGTCTTATTCCTAACTTCCAGGGAAATGCTTTTAATTTTTCATAGTTTAGTGTGATATTTTTGGGTACCTTTGGTAGATAACCTTTTAAAGATAAGATTAAGAATTTTTGTTTCTATTTGGTAAGAATTCTCTTTGTGTGCATGGTTTTTATTTTTATTGTATGATTTTGGGGCATCTGTTGAGGAAGTGTGTTATTTAGTTTCTAAATCTTATGGCTTCAATTATTTAACTTGTGAATATGGCAAATGACATTTGCAGATTTTCTGATGTTTGATTATCCTTATATTCTGGGGGGAACAAGCCCCAACTTGGTCATTTCAAAAAACATTGCTTACTTGGTTTGCTGAACTTTACTGAAGGTTTTCGTG